CGGTTTCGACGCCCCTCGCGGCCAGGTCTGACTCCGGACACTCAGGGATCAGGCCACCAATGCGCAGTTCAGTGTCATCGGTAGGATCAGGAAGCTTCTCGAGCCTCTCATCGACATCGAGTGGGACCTCCGCTCCATTCCCCAGAATGGGTTTATTATTATTATTATTATTAGTATTATTATTATTATTATCATTATTATTATTTTCATATATATATATATATGTCGAGGATGAGAAGGCAGGTGCTACACACAAGCTTTTCCAGGTCGAGAAGCCAGGGGTTGATTCCACGAAGCCGAAAGTCACTTCGTTTCCGTGCACGTTCAAGGCCCTGAAGATCGAGAAATCGAAACCGCAGGAGATAGCGGAACAAGTTTTTGATGAGTTGCGTCTTTTGTGAGTTGTAGCAGCAGACGCGTCCACAGCAACGCCTGTGTGTGAGGGGGCCATCACTCCCGAGATTGTCTCTCTCTTGAGTGCTGGAGATTACGTAGAGGCGCAGAGCAGAGTGAGGGGGATCAGTCAGAGTTCATTCCTTCCGTTCTTGCCTGCAAAATCGCTGTCGGTGGTGACGTGGAATCCCAGGGGGTTATTCGGCAGTGTATCCAGTATGCGGCATCGGTCTCGTCAGTGATGGAAGCTCTTCTCTGGTCTTATCAGGCGCTGCCAGATCGCTTGAATCCAGGATTCCCACGGCCATGAGGGGGATCTTGTCTGTCTCCAGAAGGAATTCCCCAAGCATCGTTTCTTCTTCAACCCGCGCCCGCTGAACGCTCCTGGGCATGGGGTCCTGTTGTGTCTTCAGAAGCGTGTCGCTGGGTGTTTTGCCGATTTCCACCGTGAAGTTGTGGTTCCTGGAAAGATATCGTGCGTCTTGGGCTGGGGCCACTCTGGGATCCTTGGGATTGCGGTAGTTCACATGCCGAGCATTGATGCTGGAATCGGTCTCTATCGTCAGCAGTTGATCCGTCTGCAATCGTTGCTTTTCGCTGCCTCTCTCGCCGCGAATCTCATCCTTGGGGACTTCAACTTTGCGTCCAGTGACGGGGTCGCCTTCAGGTCCAGTCGGGCGCCTACGCTCGGGGGGGGGGTGCACTGCCCACACTAGGGAGTGGAATCTGTGCTTCGGGTCGCTCGCAGAGTTGCGCCAGCCTCTTGATGCTCGTCGTGCATGCCAAGGGGCACAGATTGTGGGAACCGCTCGTTTGGATCGGGTCTACATCAGCACGCGCCCGTCTGTCTTGAATGATTTCGCGATCGCTGGTTCTACGATTGAATGGCTACCAACCTTAAGAACCCTTCGGGCCACGTGCCTGCTGTTGCCACGGTTACCCCTGAGCCTCGGCCTGGCCCTGGGCCGCCCCCCTCCCATCCCTGCTTGGATCCCTCGGGCGCCTGAGTGCCGGGCGATCCTCGCTGAAAGGCTTGCTGAGGTTGATCTCAATCTTGGCCCCAAAGATCAGTTAAAACCGACCGAGGTGGCCATGCCTGAGGTCCACTTTGAATTTCGGGAGGGCATGCGATGCAGAGTCGCCACTACGACCCATGAATTTCTTCGCTGGGGTGTGTCTGCTCTTCGTGAGTTTCGAGCTGGTCTCTCATCTCTTTATCTTCTTGTGTGTTGTGCGTGCCTATCCCGCATTCTCGGACTTCCTTGATGTTGGCGCATGCGCCCTGGTGGGTGATGCGGGCCTCTCCGCGCGCGTTGCTATTATCAACGATGCTCTGTTGGATGACGAAGACACTGCGTTAGAGCAGGCTACCTCTATTCCTGAGCATGGCTTGCAGCGACGGCGTTCGCGCGTGCAGCGGGATCGTGAACGTTGATGCACTTAGACCCCCTCTGTCCGTCTTGGTAATATTTTGCGCGAGCACACATGTGTGCCTTGTGCGGCTCTTGAGCGCGCAGGGCATGAGCTTGCGCGGAATTGGGGTGGAGTGTTTGCTACAGTCGAACCTGGCCGATCTCTCTGGGACCCCCCTGGAACCGTTTATTCAGAAGGCCTCGGACGTATGCCCTGGCCTGGAGTGGATCCTGGACCGAGATGCGCGTGCTGCGTTTGTGAACACCAGAAGCGGTTTTATGCCGGGTGTTGCTGGGGTGCCCTATAGCTGCTGGAGGATCCCTGAAGCTCAGGAGATGCTTTACCTGTTCTATCGGCATTGCATCGCTCATCCTGGTGAACCCCATCCTCCCGACTTCCATCGCATGCTCATGGTATTCTTGGCCAAAGGGGATCGATCGCCCCGCGGATGCATCGGTGGTGCCCGCAAGAAAGCCATCCAGTACCCGTCCGCTCTCTGTGGGTTGCACGGGCTGTAAGTTGGCCACTTCCGCCATATGCTCGGGCTCTCTCTCTCTCTCTGTTGGGTCAGTGCTGTATTTTAGACAGTCAGACTGGTACTGTCTCTGGTCGCTAGATCATGGATAGTATCATTGTGTGTGAAGGGGATGGTGTATCCGCTCACCTTGAGTGGCAGCGCAAATCAGCGCAACTCTTCGCATATTCTCGTGCCGCCTTCCCGAGTTTGTTGGTCCAATGGTTATTATTTGTCCTTAGCAGGATGGGTATTCCGAGGTGGGCCGTGAACGTCTTCGCTAACCTATATGAGAATAACACCGCGTTGGTCCACTTCTGTGGGGTCGTGTTGGCCCAGTTCTCGGCTGGGTGCGGGGTTTGCCAGGTGTGCCCCGCTTCGATGCTTTTGTTTGCCCTCTCCCTAGACCCCAGTGTGTCGTTGGCTGAGCGCGACTAGTCCCATGGGTTTCAGGCTCTCAGGATACGCCGACGACCTGAGGTTCTGGCTGGCCAATATCTTCACCGATGTGACCCCGCTCTTTGATGAGCTCTGCCTTCTAGCTGGGGCTATTCGGGCTTGAGCTGCACTTTGGGGGATGCGTCATCCTAGTGGCATGCCCGCAACAAGTTCAGAATTCCTCTCAGCTGCTTCGTTCCCCGGGGCGTGGATGTGGGCGTTCCTTTGCAGTCACGTGGTGCAGGCACCTTGGGATTAGTGTGGGCCCCGATGCTCGCCTTCACTCGTTTCCCTCGCAGCAGGATATATTCTTCCGCCGTGTCTGCAAGATCCGTCTGGTGGGAGCTGGGCTAGCTGAGTATATCGTTGCTTGCAATGTTCGGACTGTGTCTGTGTTGGGCTAGTTTTTTCAGTTTCATAGGCCGACCCCCCCAACTACTACAGACGAAGGAACGGGCTCTTCAGATCTGCATGCTGGTCCGAAGTGCAGTTTCACTGCTGGAATGATGAAGTCTCTGAGGCATGCAGGGTGCAACGCTCAGTGTATGGCTCTGTCCCGTGCTTCCCAAGCGACAGGCTTCATAACTGCGCAAGAATCAGGGCCCTGGAGCCGGTGCCAGAGAAGTCTAGACAGGATTATGCAAACCTCCAACGACTTGCATCCTTTTCGGCAACATCGTGGTTGGTTCGCTAACTCATTTTTATCGTTTATGGCTGAGAACTATTCCAAGCATCTTCTTCGGGTTCGGGCGATTAGCCCCACTGCTCCATACTTCGTCTCCCAGGCGGATTTGGCGTCGTCTCTCCGAGCGGACATTGGACCTGACTTTCTTCGAGACGACATCGAGCGACGTGTTCTGAAGTGGATGCCCCTCCCCTCGCCTGCCTCTGCTTGGTTCCCCCTTTCGCTAGGCGTATGCGCTCTGTCTGTAATTCGGTTTCGATGTTTTTAGTGGTCGCAGTCCTTCGGGTTCTTTTGTCGAGGACTGTGGGCGACGGCCCGTTTTCACGCCCGCCCAGAACCCTGTTCTTTTGGGTGCCTGGGGGCCGCAGATGATCAATGCCACTGCCTGCGCTGCCCGAAAGTCCTGGAGCGCTTTTCGTCATGGGCCGCTCCCCTTTCCCCGCTCGGTTTCGCCGGCCCATTCCCAGTGCTCTGCTGTGTAGATGGTCGAGCGCCTGACATGCCCAGAGACTTGGTACTGTGCACGTTGCTGGAGTGTTTCGTCCACGCCCACTCATTACTGAGAGCCGCTACCGTGCCTAGGGGGGCTTCGCTTGCGTTGATCTTTGAGGGCCGTTTGAGGCTACTGATGCAACGGCATCCTCCCATTCGTGCAGTGGTCAGAGCCATTAGAGGCTAGGTCTGTAGGATGTCCCGCTTGCGCGTGGTTCTCGATGATGATCGAGGCTCCATGGTACTGTGTCGATTGTCTCTCAGGGACGTTTTGTGGGCCTTGTATGTTCTCGCCCTTGCCTCGCTGCCGTCCCCCTGTCCTGCTGCTGCCGTTGGCTTCCGCCGCCTGGCTTGCCGCCGCCGTCTGCTTTCTCGCCTCTCTTGCTCCTCTCGGCCCGTGCCCTGGTAGATAGTTTGGATGTTTTAGTGTTTTAGCGTTCGTGTTTTAATGTTCTTCTGCTGTTTCACGTTTCCTGGGTTTTCGGTCTGAAGTTTTGGCCTGGGCCGTCTGCCTTTCTCGTCTCTCTCGTCTCTTCCGCCTCTCTCGCCTCTCCTCCTCCTCCTGCGTGTTCCGACCTGGTGGAGAGGTTCCCCGCCGCCCGCCCTGATTGCGCGCTCTCTCGGAGCAGGGTCCCCGAGGACTCCGTGAGCCCGCCAGAAGGGCGGTTCTTTGATCCGCGCGCGCGAGGTTCTCGATGATGATCGAGGCTCCGTGTGCCGCCCCGCCTGCTGCTTTCATGGCCGCCCACCGGTAGGGTGGCTAGCCTAGCAGTTGCGATCGATCGATCGCCTGCAATTCTTCTGTGCCTCCCCCCCTCCTGCCTGCCTGCTTGCTGGCTCGGGCTGGCTTCAGGCTGCAGGGCGTCTTGTTTTCACCCGCCGACGCGCCTGTCATTGTTACTTCGTTCATTGCCATCGGTCCGCTAGTCGTCGTCGTCGTCGTCGTCGTCGTCGTCGTCGTCGTCGTCGTCGTCGTCGTCGTCGTCGTCGTCGTCATCGTCATCGTCATCGTCATCGTTATCATCACCGTTGTCATGCGGTCGACTTCCAGAACTTGATTCTTAGACATTGTGGCCCACTCGTATCGATCGAGCAGCGCGTCCGTCAGCGTACACGGTCTTCTCGCGGGCCGCACCCCTGCTCTCCCTTCCTTGCCTGCCACGCCCGGGCATGTCGGAGGCCGTGGAAACGGAGCGTGCTCTTCCGCCCACTTCGAGTCATCAGCCGGAGCTCGCCCAGGGCGAAGTTTCCGGTGGCCTCTCAGCTGCGGCCCAGGACAGCTGCCTGGCAAACATGAAAGTCCATTTCGGGGAACTCTTTACCCTGCTGCAGGGCATCGCCGAGTTCGACCAGGCTTGCAGGAGTCTCGAGTCGAGGCCGCGCGAGGCCGAGTACGATGAGGTGCAAGTCGCCGTTGCGTCCGACGCAAAACTAAAGGAGATCTCGCTTTCTGCACCAGACTATTCGATCGAGGCAGGCGTCATGACACCGAGCAGTTTACAAATTCTGAGTGTATTGCGAAGCGATCTTGAAACACAGATAACGGCCAACAAGGAGTTCTTTGGCGATGCGCAGGACATTTTGTGTAAGCCAATCGGGCAGATCTTGGATGGCAAATTTGACAAGTGTAGCAAGGAGGAGGGATGGATCCAGGAAGACATCGGTCAATTCATCTTGAGAGTGTTCGAGGATATTCTGAAAGACAGTGGGAGCTACCGCCTCATGATGAACGACTTCAAGACGAAGATCGAGCGCCTCACTGCGAAATGTAAGAAGTGTTCAAACAAGCTATCACAAGATGATCTGGTTCCAGAGCGATTGATTCACGAGGAAGAGCGGACCAAGTGCATCACAGACCTCTACGACCTGCACCATCACCGCGCCATTGATGCGGAGAGGCCGAGCAATATCCCAGAGCTCTTGAAGAACAGCCAGCGCCGTTTCGAACAGGTCTTCAAGTCGCGCACCGAGGAGATTAATCTCCAAGAGCGGGCGCACACACACATGGCCAGGCAGGCGCAAGCGTCGTTGAAACAGCAGGATAAGTACCATTCAGAAGCGAAGGCTCGATACTCTAACATGGAGCAGCACTCGCATTTGATGGAGAAGGTGGCTGCGCAAGAATTGCGCTCTGTCGTGACGGATCTCCTGGCAGGCTTGGAGCGCGCAAGCAGTTTGGCGGAGACTATCCGCACTTGTCGGGTAAAGCGCAGTAGGTGTGAACACGCGGATGACGCAATCGACTTGTTGATGACGGAGGCGAAGAATTCCCAGAAGAGACGCTTGAAATGCCACGAGGATCCATTAAGCTGACGCCACTACCGACGACACATCTATGTTTGAGGCCGCGGTTGACCCCCCCCCAAGCGTTGACGGAGGGGACTAGGAAGGTTTTGCAATGAATGCTTGGGGAAGTCTTGGGGCCCTCTCTGGGCTCTTTTGGGCTGCCTGGAGGCTCCCTTGGGGGGGTCCTGCGGGGCCGTCTTCGGGATCTCGAGCCCCTGTTGGTTGTGTTTTGCGCTGTCCGGGGGCTGTCTGGGGCCGCCTTGGTGGCCCGAGCGCTCCTCCAGATGCTCTCTTGGGGTCCTCTTGGGTCGTATTGGGAAGTTCTGGGGTCACCCTCGGATCGTCTTGGAAGTTCTCTCGATGCTTCATGAGGCCATCTTGTGCCGTAAAGTCCCAAGCAAAGCACGTTCACTGAACAAGTATGCAATCATACACGATGTTTCCCCAACTATGCTTTAGCATAAGGAGGCCCTTACCTGGTAATTAGAAATGGTGTTTGGAGACCTCCGCCAGCTTTGCTGATGCGGTGGCTATTCGTTACAACTTTGCTGATGCTGGTGTCGCTGATGTGGCTGCTGCTGAAGTCGCCAATCATTGCTGCTCATGATGCGGCTGGCGGTCATGCCGTCATTGCTCTTCACTTGGTTGTTATGTTGTTGTGGTCATGATGCAGTTGGTGCTCATGTAGAAATTGCTGTCCATGTGGTTGTTCTGTTGTGGTGGCTGTTCATATGAGCATTGTTCCCAACCATCTTTTGGTGTTGGGTGCTCGTTTTGAAGAGACGGTCCCCGCGTCCCTCCTCCCCCCTTCCTCCTCCTCCCCCTCCTCCCTCGTCGCCATCCTCCCTGCGTTTCACCCACCCAGTACAGCGTTTCCTGGCCTCATAGGGAGCTTCACCGAAGGCCCCAGTGGCAGGGTTCGCATGGCGGCCCCGCCTCAATTTGGCGCACCCCTCACACGGTTCGTGGCCCCATAGTGAGCTCCACCGAAGGCCCCAGTGGCAGGGTTCGCATTGTGGCCCCGCCCGCGGCCACGCCCCATTTTGGCGTACCCCTCACACGATTCGTGGCCCCATAGGGAGTTCCACCGAAGGTCCCAGTGGCAGGGTTTGCATGGCGGCCCCGCCTCATTTTGGCGTACCCCTCACAAGGTTCGTGTCTCCATAGGGAGCTCCACCGAAGGCCCCAGTGGCAGGGTTCGCATGGTGGCCCCGCCCCATCTTGGCGCACCCCTCACACGGTTCGTGGCCCCATAGGGGGTTCCACCGAAGACCCCAGCGGCATGGTTTGCATGGCGGCCCCGCCCCGTTTTGGCGCACCTCTCACACGGTTCGTGGCCCCATAGGGAACTCCCCTTGCTTCGTCCCACCTGCCTTGCGGTTCTCACGCTTCCGTATGGTTGGGTCCTTCGCCAGGATAATTTTTGATGTGCTGTTGTTTTTCTTCTTGCCATTACATAGTTGCTGCGATTCTTGCTGATGCTGCTGCTGCTGCTGCTGCTGCTGCTGCTCCCCCCCATATCGTTGCTAATGCCGTCGTTGCCGTTCCTGCACTGAGATTGTTATATGCTATTGCTCGTCATGCTGTTATTCTGTTGTTCATGCGGTTTTATGAATGCTGCCATTACCGTTCATGTGGTTGCTCTGCCTTCGTTCCCTGTGCGGCTGTCATTCTTCCGTCATTCTCATCGCTGTTGTGCTTGCTGTCGTTGTTCTGGGCCAGAGGGCTCTGCCGGCTCCCTGGGCCAGCTGTGAGGCTGTGGGCCGTCCTCGAAAAGCGGCGACCCTCTATAGGGATGCCGCCCCTCTTGGTGGACTCGGAGGCCTCTGCGGCTCCGTGGGCCGGCTGTGGGGCGGGCGCCTCGGCCTTCGGAGTCCGGGGACCCTCACGAGGCTGGCGCTCCCCCCGGGGCCCCCGCCGCCTCTGCAGGCCAGCTGTGGGCCGGGTGCCTTGGCCTGGCGCCCCTCCCAGTGGGCCAGTGGCCTCTGCCGCCTCTTGTGGGCCAGCTGTGGGCCGGGCGCCTTTTGCTTTTGAGCAAAAATGGCGGTCCTCACGAGGATGGCGCCCCTCCTGGTGGGCCAGGGGCCTCTGCTGGCTCTGTGGGCCAGCTGTGGGCCGGGCGCCTTGGTTTTCACAAAAAGTAGCGACCCTCACGGGGATGGTGCCGATTCCAGTGGGTCGGAGGCGGCTGCGGGCTCTGTGGGCCAGTTGTGGGCTGGGCGCCTTGGCCTTCGAAGCGTGGCGATCTCGAATATAGTGATGGCGCTACTCCTGGTTGGCCGGAAGCCTCAGCCGGCTCTGTGGGCCAGTGGTGGGCCGGGCACCTTGGCTTTCGGAAAAAAAGCGGCCCTCACGAACATGGCGCCCCTCCTGATGGGCTGGAGGCCTCTGCCCGCTCTGTGGGCCAGGTCTTTGCCGGGCGCCTTGGCTTTCGAAAAATGGCGACCCTAAAGCGCTCCTCCTGGTTAGCCGGAGGCCTCTGCCGGCTCTGTGGGCCAGTTGTGGGCCGGCCGCCTTGGCTGTCAGCAAACGTAGCGACCCTCTCGAGGATGGTGTCGATCCCAGTGGGCTGGAGGCGTCTGCGGGCTCTGTGGGCCATTTGTGGGCTGGGCGCCTTGGCCTTCGAATAGTTGCGATCCCTCCTGGTTGGCCAGAAACTTCTGCTGGCTCTGTAGACCAGTTGTGGGCTTGGCGCCTTGGCTTTCGGAGAGCGGCTGCCCTCACGAGGCTGGCGCTCTTGCTGGTAGGCTGGAGGCTTCTGCTGGCTCTTTGTGCTTGTTGTGGACCGGGCGCCGCGGTTTCCGAAAAATGCCGGCCCTATAGGCGCCCTTTTGGGTGAGCCGCAGGCCCCTGCCGCCCTTATGGGCCAGCTGTGGGCCGGGCGCCTTGGCGCCATTGGCTTATCCGATCCGATCCCAGTGGGCCGGAGGCCTCTGCTGGCTCTGTGGGTCAGCTGTGGGCCGGGTGCTCCTCCATCACCAGGAAGGCGCTCCTCCTGGTTGGTTGGGATCCTCTGCGGGCTCTGTGGGCCAGTTGCGGACGAAAGCTTTCGAAGATTTTCGACACTCACGAGGTTGGCGCTCTTGCTGGTGGGTTGGAGGCCTGTGCCAGATCTGTGGGCCAGTTGTGGGCCGGGTGCCTTGGCCTGCGAAAGAAAAGTGGCGACCCTACAGACGCCCTTCCTGGTGCGCCAAAACATGGCGGCCCTCACGCGGATGGCGCCCTTCCTGGTGGGTGGGAGGCCTCTGCCGGCTCCGTGGGCCAGCTGTGGTCTGGCCGGTTTGATTTTCGAGAAGTGGTACTTTCCGAACACAGGGATGGCGCTCTTCCTGGTGGGCCAAACCAAGCTTCTGCTGGCTCTGTGGGCCAGCTGTGAGCCGCGCGCTTTGGCTTTCGAGAAGAAGCTTCGGCCCTCTCAGGGATGTCGCCCCTCCTGGTTGGTCGGAGGCCTGGCACCGTGGGGCTGTCATAAAAAGTGGCGACCCTCACAAGGATGGCGCCCCCCCTGGCCTCTGCCAGCTCTGTGGGCCAGCTGTTGGGCGGGCGCCTTGGCGTTCGAAATCCAGCGACCCTCACGAAGATGGCGCTCTTCCCAGCGGGCTGGAGATTCAGGGCTCTGCCGGAGGCCTCTGCCAGCTCTGTGGGCCAGCTGTGGGCCCCGCTCTCTGGCTTTCGAAGTCCGGCGCTCTCGCGAGAATGGCACCCCTTCCGGTGGGCCAGAGGCCTCTGCCGACTCGGGTCTGCAGTGCAGCTCTGGGCCAGGCGCTTTGGCTTTCGAGCAGTTGCGACCGCAGACGGCCCTGGTGGCTCCATGGGCCAGCTGTGGGCCGTGCGCCTTCGTTTTCAAAAAGTGGCTGCCATTATGAGGATGGCGTCGCTCCTGGTGGGCTGGGGGTTGGGCGCGTGGATGGCGCCTCTCCTGGTGGGCCGGAGGCCTCTGCCGGCTCTGTGGGCCAATTGTGGGCCAGACGCCGTGGGTTTCGAAATAAAGCGGCTATGCGGGGATGGCACCCTTCCTGGGCCGGAGGCCTCTGCCGGCCCTCCGGGCCAATTGTGGGCCGGGCGCCTTGGCTTTCGAAAAGTGGCGACCCTACAGGCGCCGCTCTTGGTGAGCCAGGGGCCTGTGCCGGCTCTCTATGGACCAGCTGCGGGCCGGGCGCCTCTGCTTTCACCGACAGTAGCGACTTTCATGAAGATTGCGCTCCTCCCAGTGCAGTGGGCTGGAGGGTCTGCGCTCTGGGCCAGCTGTGGGCCAGGCGCCTTGCGAAGAGTGGCGGCCCGCACGAGGATGGCGCTCGTGGCGGGCTGGAGGGCTGTGCCGGTTCAGTGGGCCAGCTGTGGGCCCGGAGCTTCGGTTTTCGAAACTCGGCGACGCTCACAGGGTTAGCGCCTCTCCTTGTGGGACGGAGGCCTCTGCCAGCTCTGTGGGCCAGCTGTGGGTTGGGCGCCTGGGCTTTCGAAGAGTGGCGACACACGAGACGAGGATAGCGCTCCTCCCAGTGGGCAGGAGAGCTCTGCCAGCTCTGTGGGCCAGCTGTGAGCCGCGTGCTTTGGTTTTCGAAACGCGGCGATCCCCACAGGGGTGGCGCCCCTCCTGGTCGGCCGGAGGCCTTAGCTGGCTCTGCGGGCCAGCGGTGGGCCGGGCGCCTTGGCCTGCGAATAGTAGCGACCCTCACGCGGATGGCGTTTCTCCCAGCGGTCTGGAGGCCTCTGCCGGCTCTTTGGACCAGCTGTGAGCTGGGCGCCCTAGCTTTCGCAAAGTGGCGACCTTCACAGGGATGGCGGCCTCCCTGGTTGGCCGGAGGCCTCTGCTGGCTCTGTGGGCCAGCTCTGCCATCTGTGGGCTGGAGGGCTCTGCCAGCTCCATGGGCCAGCTGTGTGCCAGGCGCCTCCGCTCTCGAGCAGGGGTGGGCCTGAGGGTTGGCGCTCCTCCCGGTGAGCCGGGAGACTCTGCCGGGTCTCTGGGCCTGGCGAGCTGGCCTTCGAAAAGTGGCGACCTCACGAGGGGCAGCTGTGGGCTAGGTTTGTTGGTATTCGGGTAATGCAAATATGTAGGGTCGACGTTGGGATCAACCCATCCCCTAACACCGTTTCGCGATAGGTTTCTAATCTAGAGCCGATGATGTGTCAGTGCCGGTGGTCCCTCCTGGGGGTGTCGCCGGTTCCCGTTTCGGAGAGTCGTCCCTGACCCCAGGTCCACATTCCACACGTGACCGCTCGAGGATGGTGCGCCCCATGTCAACACGCTTGTGAGTCTCAGGATCGTTTCCAATGTATTTCGGGCGTGCCCGCTCAAGGGTGGTGCGTCCCAACTCGAATTCGGCACACTCCTCGCGTACTTCGTGTGCTTCATGGGCTCCAGAAAGCTTTCGGTTGAGGCTCAGTCGGTTGATCCCTGGTATCCCATAGGTTTCAGCTTGCCGCCAAAGTAGTTCACTAGCACCCCAATTCGGAGCACCCCCCAGTCACTCCGTGTCCCAAGGCCTTCATCGGTTCTTCGCTGGCCGCCAAGATGGACCAAGCCAACTTGCTTCCAAGGCGGCCCATGAGAGCCACAATGCAGTACACTCCGCTCGAATTGTGTTCCCTTTTGGTCCACAGAGGCCTTCAGCTGGTCTCCAAGACTGCGCTAGAGAGCCGCAGCTCGGCACACCTGTCACGCCTGCCGTGCCTTGGGCCCTCAGCTGGTCCTCAAAACTGTTCACGTGAGTCCCAAATCGGCACCAGAGTCACACCAAGACGGCTCCAAGGCGGCCCACGATCGGCCCCAGGCGAACCCAAGACCGTATAGACAGCGGCAGTATCCCCCCAAACAGGCCCAAGAGCTCCCCGGAGGCTCCAAGATGGCAAGAACGAGCCCGAAGAGGCTCCCAAGAAGCCCTCAAGATTGCCCCAGGAACGCCCCGAGAACGCCCAAGAGACCCCCAGATGATTTTAAAGACACCCAAGATGGCCCCAAAGGCGGCCAGAGAGGCTCCCAGTGTGGCCCCAAGCGGGTCCCAGAGGCCCCAGCTGGCCCAATTACACCGAAACTATTGTAACTTATGAGATCCGCACTGGGACATCAGCATCTTGCCTTGGTGCTGTGATGGGATCATCGAATTTGGTGGTCTGGGATTTCTTTTGGGGCCTCCCCAGGTCTTCGTAGGGCTTCCTGGGACGTCTTGGAGGCTCCTTGGGCCGACACTCTCTTGGGGCATCTTGGCGCCATCCAGGACCGCCACGGGCCTGTCTCACATGCGACGCAGCTGCCATGCATTATTCTGCGGGCCCTCCCAGGGACTCCAGAGTACCCGCGGCTCCCCCTTCAAAGCGCGACCCCCCCCCAAGGAGGGCCTGCTGGACAGGGGAGAGGTCTCACACGCAGGCTGGGCTGCGCACGATCCGATTCGATGCGATTCGGTTCGCTGGCTGGGGCCGCGATTCCGATCCGATTCGATTCGGTTCGGTTCGCGGGCATCGGCTGGGGCCAGCCGGAGCCATGAGCGTCGATCCGATTTCGATTCGATTCGGAACGATTCGCTGGCGATCCGATCCGTTTCCGATCCGATCCGATTTTGCGATTCGATCTTGACCCCAAGGGGTCGGCGGAGCTCGTGGCGCGCTACCGACAGGGCGCAGAGCTTCTCAACATGTGGGCAGAATGGTTGCGGGGCTCATACCGCTGGATGGAGGTCAACATGTTGGCCAAGCGCGAGGCGCTCAAGCAGGAGCTTCCGGCCGAGAAGCTTCAGTTCGAGGCGCTGCTGCACGAGTTCTCGGAAGATTCGCACCGCTTCGCGGTGGAAGCGGCCGGTGTTCCACCCGCTTCTGGGCCGTCTTGGGGGTCTCTCTCGGATTTTCTTGCTGCGCCTCCTCAGAGGCCTCGTGAGCCGTCTGGGAGCGCCATCCTGGCTCGTGTGGGGTCTTCTGGGGGCGGTCGTCCTGGCGCCCGCACGGGCCGTCTCGGGGCCCTCTCTAGAGATCTTTTGCCCTGCATTGGGGCCGCTTTCTTGGGCCGTCTTGGGGCCCTCTGAAGCGCTCGTCAAGCTGCCTGGTCCAACAAGCAAACATGAGAAGCGCAACACATCGAACCCGTTGTTGAATCGCTCTGCTCATTCAGTCAGCCTTATTTCACCATTCTTGCTATGGAGGAGGAGGAGGAGGAGGAGGAGGAGGAGGAGGAGGAGGAGGAGTAGAAGGAGGAGGAGGAGGAGGAGGAGGAGGAGGAGGAGGAGGAGGAGGCGGAGGCCTTTCGACGGCTTCTTGGGGAACTGTGGGGGCCAAACTGGGTCGCGGACAAGACGCCTCTTTGGAAGGCTTCGTGGGGTCTCCTGGGAGGCCTCTCGGGGTCCTCTTGGTGGCATTTTTGGGACCTCCTGGGGCCTCTTGGAGGTCCTGTGGAGCATCCTTGTGGGCTTCAGGCGGCCTCTTGAGGGCTTCTTGGGGGCTTGCTGGCGGTCTCGGGGGCCAACTTTCGGGGAAGGCTTGATCTGTCTGTTCGGGTTCCCCCTGTTGGAAAGAGCGTGTGCTGCGGGCGCTTGGAGGGGGGGGGAGTTCGGAACCGGACACCCCCCCAGATTGAGGGGGGGGGGGTTCGAACCTCCCCCCCCACCCCTCCCCTGTCTCCCTCTTTTCGGGCCAGCGCCGGCGTCGGCGGCGGCTGGCGGCGGCGGCGGCGTAGAGCGTCGACTAGGAGGTGGTGGCTGTGGTGGTGGTTGTGTGGTGGTTTGTGGTGGTGGTTGTGGAGAGTTGTGGTGGTGGTGGTGGTGGTAGTGGTGGTGGCAATGGTGGTGGTGGTGTCGTGGTGGTGACTGGTGGTGGTGGTGGTGCTGGTAGTGGTGGTGGTGCTAGGTGGGTGGTGGGTTGTGGGTGGTGGTGGTGGTGGTTGTGGTGGTGGTGTGGTAGTTTGTGGCGGTGGTGGTGGATTGTGGTGGTGGTGGTGGTTTGTGGTGGTGGTGGTGGTTTGGTGGTTGTGTGGTGGTTCGTGGTGGTGGTGGTTGTGGTGGGTTGTGTTGGGTTGTGGTAGGTTGTGGTTGGTTGTGGCTGTGTGGTGGTGGTGGTAGGTTGTGGTGGTAAGTTGTGGTGGATGTCGACGACGTCGACGTCGACGTGGTAGTTTGGTGGTGGTGGAGGTGGTGGTCGTGGCGGTGGTGGTGGTGGTGGTGGATTGTGGTGGTGGTGTGGTGGTGGTTAGTGGTGGTGGTGGTGGCGGGTTGTGATGTGGTGTGGAGGTGGTGGTGGTGGTGGTGGTGGTGTGGTGGTGTGGTGGTTTGTGGTGGTGGTGGTGGTTGTGGCGGTGGGTGGGTGGTGGTGGTGGTGGTGTGGTGGATTGTGGTGGTGGTGGTTGTGGTAGTAGTGGTGGTGGGTTGTTGTGGTAGTGGTGGTGGGTTGTTGTGGTGGTGGTGGCTGTGGTGGTGGTGGTGGTTGTGTGGTGGGTTCTGGTGGCGGAGGTGGTGGGTTGTGGTGGTGGTGAGGGTGGTGGTAGTGATGGTGGCCGTGGTGGTGGTGGTGGTGGGTTGTGGTGGTGCCGGTGCTGGTGGTGGTGGTGGGTGGTGGGTGGTGGGTGGTGGTGGTGGTGGTGGTGGCGGTGGTGATTGTGGTGGTGGTGGTGTGGTGGGTTGTGGTGGTGGTGGTGGTTGTGTGGTGGTTCGTGGTGGTCGTGGTGGTGGTGGTGAGTGGTGGTTTGTGGTTGTGGTGGTGGTTGTGGTGGTGGTTGTGGTGGTTTGTGGTGGTGGTGGTGGCGGTGGTGGTGGTGTAGTGGTTTGCGGTTGTGGTGGTTGTGATGGTGGTGGGTTGTGGTGGTTGCGGTGGTTGTGGCGGCGGTGGTGGTGGTTTTATGGTGGTTCGTGGTGGTGGTGGTGGTGGTGGTGGTGTGGCTTTCGGGTCTTCCCGCCACCGTGCCTTTGTTTTGGGTCAGAGTTCTCATGGATGCATCTTGGGGTGTCGTCAGAAGGGTCCCAGGGGTTTTTGAGGAGCATGTGTGAGGCCTCCTGGACGCCTCTTGGGCTTCTCCTGGAACTTCCAAGAGCCTCCCCGTGGCTTTTGGGGGGCGAGGGTTCGATCTGGCGATTTGTGTTTTCCCGCTGCGGCCTCTTGGCCCTCTCTGGTCATCGTCGCTGCGTCCCCGCCGTCGGTGCTGCCGGCCGCCGCCAGCGCAGGCGCCGGCGCGGGCGCTGGGGGGGAGGGGGGGGCGCGTTCGAGATCACAGAAAGGACGATGAGACCCACGGGTTTCTCCGACAGTCTCACACCACAAGCACTACGATTTTAACGAGACGACGTGGCTACATCATGAAAAAACGGATGAGTGGGGACTGTCGGGAAATCAGCTCCTGAAGTACGCATTGTCCTGAGTAGACCCCCGACGCGCGCAGCTTCTCATGCGAGGCCATGGCCTCACCCGCCTCGCCCTTAAGGGGCCCGGGCGCATGCCCGCACAGGCGTTCCGTTCCGTTCCGTTCCGTTTCCGCCTCCCTGGGGGAGTTAGAATCCCCTACTCTTTTCCGGGGGGGGGGTCGGGGAGGGGGGGTTAAGGGAGAGGGGAGTCCCCCTGGTTCTGATCGACGGCGCCGATTCTTTGGGAAGCCCTCCCGGGTTCGAAACGCGCCGCCGAATGTTCCCAAGGCGAGCGCCTGTGAAATGCGCTCTCTCTCCCCTGTTGGGGCCTTCACTTGAGCCTCTTGGGGCCCTCTTGGGCCGTCTTGGGGTTGTCCTGAGAGCCTGTTGGGCTGACTTGGGGCGACCTAAGAGGCCTCTTGGGCCGTCCTGGGCGGTCGGAAGCAAAACCCAAGCGACATCAATGAAATTTGCCTCTTCGGGCCTCCTTGGGGTCCTCTTGGAGCCCTCCTGGGGCGTCTTGGGCGCCTCTTGGGCCATCTTGAAACCAACTTGGACCATCTTGGAATGCTCTTGGCCTGAGGTCGTGGGGCTTGCCACCTATTTGGCGCCTCCGTGGGGCACCCCTGGGGGCTCTGGGGCCCCCCAGGTCCGCGCCCAGGAGTTCTTGCATCTCTGACCCGACCTTGCTCGGACCTTGCGGGGATTTTGCCCAGACCTTGCCGTGGTATTTTCTGTCCGCGGACCCACATGTGCCGCCATCCGGGGACCCACAGGGACCGCCATTACTAGAAACACTATTAAGCTGTTACCGCACATTTTGACATGCCTCTGGCCCGTTGGGCCAGCGTTTCTTTTCGATTCAGGCTTCTTGGGGGCGTTCTTGGGGAGCTTCCTGGCCTCGAGAGATGTTTTTTTTTTTTTGACCGTGGCGGGCCTCGTGGACGCTTGCTGGAGGCCATCTTGAATCAACATCTGATCATTAGGCCTCCCAGATGAGGTCCGAGTATATGGGGTCGGAGGATCGTACTGCGCCGCATCGCCGATGCATCGGCGATGCGGCTCGATGTGAGTCCTGTTTTTCCTCACGCCGACACCGCCGATGCCGACGATGCCGCCGATGCATCGCCGATGCATCGGTTATGCATTGACGAGGTGCCGCGATCCTCCGACCTCACCTACGCCGACCCCATCTGGGAGGCCTCGAATCATCGGCCACGCGCAGAGGGGGATAGGGGGAGAGGGGAAGGCTTCTTAGAAGCACTCCTGCTTCTTAGAAGGCGCGGGCCTTGTCTGTAGACGCAAGGCCGTAGATATAAGGCCCGCGCCTTTATGAAGCAGCCTCCTTCGAAGGAGCCGTCTCCACTCCTCCTATACCCCCCAGTGCGCGCCGCCAAAACAGCGGCAGGTCCGGCTTTCCTGGGGAGCTCGTATTGGCACCGTTCGGACGTGTGCGTTTCTCTCGGCGAGGCTGGCGCCAGAACATCTGGAGCGCCTTGGAGCATCGTGAGAAAAGCAGCGCGCGGGACCCAACGATGCACGGGGAATGTGGACGTCCGAGCGACAGCAATGGGGGCTTTGGGTTAAGTCGGGCATGTCCCTCTACAGGAAGAGTTTCCCAAAATAGTCGAAAAAACAGTCGGGGGATGTTTTTTTTCATTTTTGTTGATTCGTTTTTAGGCTTTTTTTCAAAACTGATCTTCATATTTCGCCCAAAATCCCCCTGTAGGAGGACATGTCCGACCTAAGTTTTGGGGAGGGGCGCGCATCTCGCACGCCGATGAACCTCATGGGTCGGCGAACTTGTGCAGACAGTACCAGGAGGCAGAGTGGGCGAGGGAGGAAACGCAGTTGCAGAAACAAGACGCTGTCAAGGAGGCGCTCCGCGCGGAGCGGATCCCCGGCAAGACGAACGAGGCCCACGAAGCCAACGCCAGAGTACGGGAGCTCGAGCAGGGCATCCGAGAGATCGAGACGAGGATCCGGCGGCGAAGTCTGAGCCCCAGCCTCGCCCATCAACGATTCGGGCAGCTCGATGAGCGGCGGGCGTACAGGGTTCGGAATTCGTCGATCGCGTGGCGAAGTCCGAGCACTGCCCCCGCCCCCCCAGCGATTGGGGAGGATCGGTGGCTGGCATGGGGGCAGGGTCCAGGCGTCGCCGCCCGAGGATGAACGAGCTGAGGGAGCGGTGGGTCAGCCTTCAAGACAAGCTCCCGCCGACGCGGCCCTCGGCGGGGGCCATCGGGTGGGTGCAGAGCTTCTTCTACAACGGGCCGTCCCTGGACGCCAGGCGCACGCCCCAGGCACTCGGCGGCGCCTGCCAGGCACCCCTGCAGGACGACGCCCGGTCGGCGGACCGCCTCGAACACTGCGGCCCCCGCGGCGCCGTGCGCAACAGCTTCCTCGAGTGGGGCCAGGCGGCCCTGGACTTCGTGACCCCCCCGCGCCTGAGGAAGCGCGGCAAGTCGGCGCCGCTGCCGCACGAGCACCGCCTCGGGCCCAGCTCGAAGACGAACAAGCAGCACAGGCATAAATTTTCGGAGGTCTGTGCGGACTTCTCGTGTCGGCGCGGAGGCTCCCCGTGCGGCGCCTCTGGCGCTGCCCCTGGCGCGCCCCGCGCGCCGTGGAGGGGGGCCAGCGCCGATCCAAGAGGCCAGTGCAGAGCTCCGGCAGTCCATGTCTGTGCTGCTTCTTCTTCCTCTGCCATCGAGCAGCCGACCCCGGCTCTCAGCATCGCCTAAGCCATCCCATCTCCGCTGGGCCGTGGTACCTTTGCCCTGCCAGCCCAACCTCCAAGGTGGGGATGTAGGCTCCGGAGGTGACCCTGAGGAACAGCCACCTATGTCTCTCTCTCTCTCTCTATATATATATGTGTATATATATATACACATATATGTATATCCCCACCTGGGTGGGCAAGTCGGCAAGTGGGGCCAAGGCCACGCCAGTGGATACAGGGGGTAGGCTGCACGATGCCCAGGCTCCGCCCAAGCGCCGCCGCACTGGCGCCGGCCCGGACCGCGGCGCCGGCCCGGACCGCGGCGCCGGCCCGGCCGCCGCACGGGCGCGCCGCGCTCTGGAGGCGCCCTCGTGACGGGCGGCCTCGCCGGCGCGGCGCGGCACGCGGCGCCCACGTCCCAGAGGGCTTCCCGTAGTCGGGCCTGCTCCTCTCCAGGGGCAGTATGCAAAAGTCGTCAAAGTCGCAGGCCTAGAGGTTGACACCGACACCAACACCAAGATCGGCGGTGTGCCTCCACCGAGGGAAGACGATCCCGATCTCGGTGATGGTGGTAATATTCTGGCTTCCAAGGTGGCCGACATATTGCCACCAACACCGAAATCTAGGATCATCTTTCCCATGTGGAGGCAACCCCCTGGGCTGGTGTTGGTGCCAATTTCCAGGCCTCCAACAAAGCATAGTCTTGGGACGATTTTCGGAGTTTTTCTTTGGCCGTGTTTGGATACTTTCTCGGGTACTTTTCATGGTTCGTCCAAGATCTGCCCGTAGGGGGGACGTGCCCGACCTGACGCTTCCCGAATTTGCTCCAATCGACCTGCAGAGATCGAGCCAGGCACATCCAGGTAAGCTTAGCTACATCGAGGCACACATTCCAGGTACATGTTGGCCCGCGTGGACCCCAAGAAGTAAGTCATGGCACTGGATGCTGAAGCTGTGTATGTGATGCACACGGGTCTCTGCGGCTTTTTTTCGAAGAGCAGATCTGCATCCTCGGAACACCCCCACAGGCGGCAACGGCCGACAACGCACGGCAACGGGCTGGAACAGGGCGAATCCTCGGGACATCCACGCAGGCGGCAACGGGCAGCAACAGGCTGGAACGTTACGAATCCTTGTTGGACATCCGCAGAGGCGGCAACGGGCGGCAACTGGCTGGATCGTCGCGAATCTTCGGGATATCCCCACAGCCGACGGCTGGCAACGGGCGGCAACGGCAAGCCGGAACGTGGCGAAAACTGGGGACACCCATCTAATTCTTTCGAAGAAGAAAAACGCCGTAAACATAAACTTTTGGCGCTCCGCGCGGATTTCTTGTATCCGCGCTGGGCCTCCCACGGCGTCGCCTCTGGCGCCGCCCCTGGCGCGCTCCGCGCGCCAGGGGGGGGGGGTCCAGCGCAGATCCAAGGAATCCGCGCGGAGCGCCGACAGTTCATGCTTTTGGTGTGTTTTCTTCTTCTTCTTCTTCGTCTTCTTCTTCTACCCCATAGAAACGTGATAACCCGTACGTGCAATCATTGTTTGGGAGTTTAGGCAGATCCAGAGATCTCCAGGGAACTCTGGGGCAAATCGTGGACGCTCCCGCGCGAGCCGAGGGACAGCAAAGGCGCCGTTGCGTCCCCCCGGGGGAGTAGCCTGCCCAGCGTGGCAAAGGCCGACAGCTTTGCGCCCGCAGAAGGCACTTGTGCACCACCACTCGAGCAACGCAAGAAAAACGGCGTCGTCTGTGCCGACACTGGCGCGCAAGCCGCCCGCGTAAGCTCGCGCGTAAGCGCCCTCGCTTCCAGCGCAGCGTGTCGCGGCCGTCCTTTCGTGGCTGGTCTGGGGGGGTCTACAACTGCTCGTCTTGGAGGGCTGTGACCTCCTCCGTTTTTATGACGAAAGCTGCAGTAGGTGAGGTCATTCGGACGGGGCTAGGACGAGGATCAATCCGTTCAAGAGCGTTCCGGAAAGCTCTAAGAGCATTCCGTAACGCTCTGAGAAGGTCGCGACGCCCGACGCATTCTCCAGAGCCGCCGATCACAGATATTCTCGATGTATCCCCATCCGATTTTACCCTCGTCCTGGTTTCGTCTCAACGTGAGCTCGTTCGCACCCGCCCCCCCTCTTGGGCCCCCCCCGGTCGTTTGACCGGGCGTGCCTGGCTAGGGCCAGCCCCAGGGCCTCAGGACGGGGTACAGTGGAAACCCATGCCAAGAAGCACCCTGCTTGCCTCCAGGTTGCTCTTGGGTTCCTGGGCTTCGATGGCTCTGCTGTGGAGAGCGTGACGCTCCCACACCAAACATCAGTGGACGTCCTGGGGTCCCAGGGTTGGGTTTCTTGTGGAAGGCTTCTTGTGGTCAAGGTTCTACTGCCTACTGTACAGTCAACCCGCAGAGTAAGCACGGGTAACCTTCCTGAGGGTACCCTTGCATCCTTGACTCCTCGGTCCATCCTTGGCCGTTTTCGTTGGCCGCGCCCCGCTCGAACAGCTTCGAAATCGGCGTCCAAAGCCCTCGCCTCCTCATCGCGCATCCTCGTGATACGGGCCGACTGTACTGCAGACAGATCCTCCCGCGGCCTCGGCCACGCGAGAGTGCACCCGCGCCAGGCCAGGGCCCAGCGTGGCCCCGGCCAGGCACGGCGGCGAGGGCGCGAAGTTCTTCGCGCTTCGCGCTTCGCGCTTCGCGCTTCGCGGCTCGGCTCCCTCCTCCTCGCCTCCGCTGGGGGGCGGCGCGAGAGCGCGAAGTTATTCGCGAGAGCGTCGTCTTCAGCGACACTGGCGTGTAAGTTGCCCGCGTAAGGTCTCGAGTAAGCGCCCTCGTCTTCACTGTGGCGTGCCGCGCTGGCGGCCCGCGTAAGCCACGGCGCAAGGTCGCTATGCCATCTTGCGTAAAAACCGTGATTGATCATCGCTCAGGTGCCTTCTGGATGTTCGCACCTTGGCCCAGCGCCGCTGTAAAGCTCAGGCCAAGGTCGTGTGCGTAGTACGTCAATTCGCACTGTGGCGCGGCATGCCGCGAGAAACATTGGGCCGTGTTGAGGAAAGGGAGAGGGCAGGAGGGAGGCCAAATTGGAGAGGGAGGAGAGCATGGGGGGTTAGCGGAGGCGGAGTTCTCGTCTCCTCTCCTGCAGTCGTTGTAGGATGTGATCTTGCCTTCTCGTTCTCGGGCCATGGTCGCCAGCGCAGCACAGCGCGCTGCGCATCAATAATTATTGGCAGGGTCACGTGGTGCTGCCACCAGCCCTTCTGATGGCTCTCCTCCTCTCCTTGTTTTTGTTGTTTGCATGGGTCCTTCCTTCGTCCTCCTCAAGGGGACGGGGAATTGAGTGCGGCGTAGCATGCTGATCCTCAGACTTGTAATATTGCGTCGCACTCAGGATGACATGACCACTCAAACTTGGGGACTTGACGCACACCTGCCGCGCTGCAAGCGCGGCGCGGTTGGGTGTATCTTCGTTTTCTGTTGGAAGGCTGCACGGCAGCGTGAGTGCGGCGTTGCATGCTGATCTTCAGACTTGCAGTTTGACGCCGCATTCTGCATGGCATGGCCACCGACTGGAGGCGACTTGACGCACACCTGCCGCGCTGCAAGCGCGGCGCGGTTGGGTGTATCTTCCGTTTTTTCTCAGACGGCAGCGTGAGTGCGGCGTTGCATGCTGATCTTCAGACTCGCAGTTTGACGCCGCATTCAGCATGGCATGGCCACCGACTGCAGGGTGCTTGACGCACACCTGCCGCGCTGCAAGCGCGGCGCTGTTGGGTGTTTCTTCAGTTTGGGAGAAGGCCCTTCTTCCGAAGCCTCTTGAGAACCGTGTGAGTCAGGCAAGTCTTCGGCTCCAGAGCGATCCGCCTTGGTTTGTCCCCGAAATTCGTGTCTTCTCTTGTGCCCGACTCGGGCTCGATGCGGACTCGACGCGCCCTGGCGTGGATTCGACCCAGATCCGACGCGGAATCGACGCGGATTCGACGAGTCCGACGTGGAGTCGACACGGACTCGATGCGGATAGGGGCGCGATGGGACAGACAAGGTCCCCCCGAAGATGTAACACCATGACTTCCATCTTGTGTAGCCGTTCACGGGATCCTTCGTTTGCGCCAGATCTTTCCTTTTTGACAGAGTCCGTGCCCTTTTCATGGCGGTTCCGGGTCGCTTTCGTGTCCCCGCGGCCGTTGCGCTCTGATGGCGCCAGGCCCATGGTGTCGCGCTGCGCGCGTGGGCTGCAAGCTGCGCCAGGCGTGGAACGGAGGGGAAAGGAAGTGGAATGAACATGGAGCGAAGGCAGATGCTGAAAGCGCAATGCGGAGGCTCTTGTAAACGGCCAGCGACCCCCATCGAACAGCGAAAGATCTGCGTCAGCACAGGCTCCCAGAGGTCCGCGCGGACTTCTTGGGTCTCCTTTGGGTGATCTTGAGGTCCTCTCGGGGCTCTTCTGGTGGGCCCTCCTTGGGGCCCTCTTGGGGGGCCCTCTTGGGGGGCCCTCTTGGGGCTCTCTTGGGGGCCTGTTGGGAGCCCTGGAGGGCACACTGGGGCTGTTGTGGAGGGCGTTTGTGAAAAGCGAGGGATCCTGACGTTTGGTCTTCCCCTCTGGGGCCATCTTGAGGCTTGTGGAAGACGAACAATGGAGAGGAGGCATGTTGCCAAATGATTCCCAGATGTCTAACATGTTTCGAACATGTCATTACAGTGCTAAACCATGTTGAAACAAGGATTCGAGCATTCTTTCAACATGTGAAAAGTTCAATGGTGGAACGGTTCGGCTGTCCACCGGCAGGGCATACACAACTTGGTAGATGATAGAACGGTCAGAGTGTCCGCTGAGGGGCGGAGCTGGACCCCTCTCCCCGCCGCCTCCACTGCGCCGCCTCGCCTGCGCCGCCTCCGGCCTGCGGCGCGCACCCCGCGCGTTCGGGCCGACGGTCCGCGAGACCGCAGCAGCCAGTTCGGACTCCGTCCGCTCGACTCGATTCGATTTCGAGGGTTCCGATTTTCATTCGATTCGACTCTGGATTCCGACTCGAGTTTCACCAGAAAGCAAAAGGCACCACCCCACCCACTATCCTCCATGTTGCGCCACGGCCCATCGGGTGCCGTAGCGGATGCCACGCAAAAGCCCAAGCCAGAATCCATGGTATATGCTGAGGCCCGTGGGGCCGTAGGTGCGTAGTGTCTTTTATTTTTCGTCCATGAGTTTGGATTTCCCACTGTGTGCCTCGGCTTGGGCCGCCGGACGTCGATTTCGAGGCCTTCTTATCTGCTTGCCGATCTCTGCCGATCCGATGGAAGGGCGAGTGGATTGGGAAAGGCGGGATTGAGACATTTTCTGCATGCAGCGCTGTCGATCCCAGCGCTGTGCTCCCCTGGCGCGATCCGTGTGCCAGGGAGGAGGGTCTGGCCCCGATCAAAGAAATTCGCGCGGAGGTCCGAAAGTGTATGTTTATAGTTTTTCGTAGCCCCTCCGAGAAAAGCCTGCTGCACGCAGCCGAATCGCTGCCCCCCCTCCCTGCTACTGCCCTCCCCTCCTCGTCCGTAGCCGCGGAGAGCTTCCGCCGCAGGTCCAGCTGCGCCGCGAGCAGGCGTTCAACGTGATCACCAACAAGAGCAGGGTGAAGGCCCCGCGCGTAACGGGGGGGCAGTATAGAATCGGTACGATCGTCATGGTGCGGAAAGAATGGGGACGAAGGGCGACAGCAATGCCAGTCCATTTTGAACAGGGCTCGCTGTCGGCACCGCGGCGGGCGTTGTCGATTTGAGACAGGAGGCAGCCTGCCCAACAGCTGCCGCTGTTGGTTTCGGACAACATTTGCTGTTGGGAATCGTACGTATTGTTTCCGTACCTATTTCGGGCATCCCCGCCAAACGGGGGGACCGAGGATTATAGGAGAGTTGCGACCAGTTGCTTCCACTTTACTGCGCATCCTTGGGGGGATGTCGGTGGAGTGACGTGGTGCGCTTGTCCAAAATAGACCTCCTTCATGGCGTCCTTCCGCGTCGCGCTCTGGTCGGGGCAGCCGTCGGCAGCTGCGTCCCGCCGCCAGTCTCTCCAGCGTGGTGTTGCTGGGCGTGCTAGCGCTGTCGCTGCTCCGCCTAGAACTTTTCAGAGCCCATTGAGGCATCCCCAGGCCCCCCTCCTCCCTCCTTTCCTCCGTTCCTCCCTCCCTCCCTTCCTGTCCGTCCGTCCCTCCTTCCCTGCCTCCCTCCCTCCCTCCCTTCCTTTCTCTCTCCCCACCTCCGTCCGCCGTCCTCGAC